TCCTGTGCTATGAGTTAAAAGGTAATATTTTCTGTTAGAGATAATAAAAAAACAATTAATTAGTACTGAAAATATAAACTCATTCTTATGGTTGTAAATTTCAAATATAACTCATTCATTGCAGTGGCAATACGCAAACGGTATCAAGGGTGCACGTTAATAGGAATGCTCATACTTCCACTCGGTAAGCAATAACATCAACTTAATTGAATATGACAGAGATAATTTTCTTAAACAACTTTTTAATATGGATTTTTATAATCAATACTCTTAGAATACATGTTGAAATTATATAATAAATATATCTTTTCATTATAAATTAGTTTTAAAAAATAAAAAAATTAACATTAATTTTAGTATTGATGGGACGTAGATGAATATAATTGAAGTGTTGATAAATTAAAAGTTAATTTTTACTTTTTCAACATAAATTTATGATAAAAGGATTCATTTGTAGCATTCTTTAAGGGTATAGTTTAGAAAAATTCTTTTAACATAGTAACTTTATATGTTATTTAATAGTAATTGACTATTTATACTCTACTAAGACTTATGTTATTATTTGCAAATTTGTTTGCAAAAAATGCTTAAAGGGTAATGACTTCAAGTTAAGATTTATTTTCGGGCTAGAAATAAAAAATAAATGTATTATATTGTTTTTTTATCAATTTATTTATATCTATATCTTTATTTATATCTAATATAGATATAGATATGGATAAAATGATAAAAAATTACTCTCTTAATCAATTTTAGTGAGTCTAGGTTTTGTCTAAAAAATAGGGATGTTATAATTTATTGATAAAATTTTATAGTTATCCCTAATTAATCACCTTCAATATATATTATAATTATCTTTTAAAAATGAGGATAAAATAATAATAAGTATATAAAATGTCATCTTAAAAAAAAATAGATAACTAAATTTGCATGTCTTAAATTAGAAACTAAATCTACTAAAATTGAACGGAAAGGATAAGTTATTTAACTATTTTTTTTATTAAACATGAAATTCATATTAATTCAAGTACAACTGGTACCCAACTCTTTTACAAACAAATTATTTTTCTTTGTTTGTAAAAATAAAAATATTAAAAATAAAAAATTGTTGGTCCTATAATACAATCACTACTAGAAAGCACAAAGTCTCCAACAGCACAACACATTGGTAAGTAGAGGGTTTACATTGGAGTAAACAAGCTTCCCACGTTATACACATTGATAAACACTTGTCGGTGTAAGTGGCCTCAGTAGTCAATGCACTGACGTATCTTCAAATCATGTCGTTAAATTCATGAAATTTATTGACGTGAGACAAATTGGAGAGCAAGGTTGTTGGATCGACGGCAGGTGAATAGGAAAATCACCAACTCTTGGTTCTCACGTCGGTAAATTATTCAAATTAATCGACATATGATTTGAAGGTACATTATTCTACTGGAATAGTGTACATTTTCTGACGATACTTTTCCTCCAAACACACGTCGGTGTTTAATCACTTACTAATGTAACTAACGTCGGTAAATATTTATTTATTTTTATGAAAAACTTAAATATTTAAGGCATTATTTTAAAACTTACCAACGTGACC